CCTCACTTAATTACACAAGGCGTTCGAGAATATAAACCATCCATACTCAGTAGTAAACATACATAACAACATCACACTTAAACCAATGAATAGCGGAAATATTCAACGGTAAGTCATAAGCCACAACCGGCCAACAACATGAGCATGCAAGCCCCAAAAGTAGTTTATAGCAAATAAAAATATCCATGAGCAATGTTTAGTCATTTGAAAGGAAATGAGGAAGCACGAACCACGTCTTCCTTGACTTGATGTCACCCGTAGAAAGGTGCAGGTAGCAAGCCCTAGCTTCAACCTGAAAATGGTGGGGGCCCCCGAAGGGGTCAGTACAAGTACCGAGCGAGTAGCAGGCTAAATATAGAATAACTAGCGTTTCAAGTATAAGACCCAAACATAGGATGATACATATACGTATAGTCTTTCCCCCAAGTTTGAAATACATATTAGTATACATACACTTGGAAATACCCGACCCGTAGGTCATTGTTTATTTGGGAAAATAATAGTAATAGTCAGTATTCTTGACTAAAAACCCCAACCCCACCCATATGCCTATGAGTGTATAGAACTCCTCCTTGTTTAAGTAAATTATCATAAGGACACCGCCCGGTCCTAGATCATTAAATGTAATCTATGAGTTTTGAGGATACACGCCCGATCCTTGGGTACTCCACCCTATAACTGAGTTTTGAGGATACCGCCCGATCCTTGGGTACTCCACCCTATATAACCGAGTTTTGAGGATACCGCCCGATCCTTGGGTACTCCACCCTATATAACCGAGTTTTGAGGATAACCGCCCGATCCTTGGGTACTCCACCCGACCTATGACTTACCACATATCACACTAGATAGGGTCTATATCATATTTAGTCATTCATAACTAATTCAATACATAAGGCTTATGTATCACAATCCATGCAAAGCCATGCAATTATATAAATGTATAATTAACTAATATCAACCGATATTAACTAATCCATTATCCATCGGTCAACGTTGTCGTTGACCGCCAATTCAAGCCTTGTACCTATCAACTTAATCATCATATAATTAAGTTAATAATACTCATTTGTGCTTCTTTTACACTTCAAGCTAATATGCATTTTATACAATTCCTCATATCATATTTCATGCATAAACAATTAATTCTTTTCATACAACTTAATAATGTTGGCTAATCACATGTTTAAATATCTTTTAAACATCATTATGAACACATATAACATTTATTTAGGTAATCTCATAATTAACCCAAAAGTTATAAGATATTAAGCCGTCCACTCACCTTGAACTAGCGTTAAGAAGTTCTACCCTTCTTGGTTGAACTCCGGTGAAACTCCGGCGACTTTTGGTCAACTCCGGCGACAATTCCGGCGACTTTTCCAACTTTGTGAAATCACTTGAAATACCCTTTACAAGTGCCTAACAAGGTTTTATAATCATAAAACCCATGTTAATACAAATAACCTCAAAAAGGTTATTTTCCGGTGAACCGGTCGTTTTGACTTCTAAGTCCGTTCTTGGACATAGAATCACTTCCCAACCCATAAATCCATACTTATAACATGTAGAACCCTCTTAAGGATCCTTCACATGATATATATCTTATATGGTAGAAGAAAAATAAAGGAAAAGTTATAATAAGGTCATTACCTTAATTGTTCACACCTTTCCCAACCTTTTTCCTTCTCCAAACACTCCTCTTTGGACCTTCTTCCTTGAGCTCGAATTTGGGTGTGAAAATGGTGAATTGTAGAGCTCCCCCTTGCTATTCTTGGTTGCTTGGTCGAGCCAATGAGTGAGGGAGGGGAGGGGATGGCTCTCTTTGTCTCATTTGGCAAATGAGTGAGGAAAAGGGCCCCTTTGGGTGTACCTTTGATGCCCAAGCCTCCTCCTCCACACTTTCCTTAGTCAACTCCAGCCCATCCTTGCCTACTCTAGCACAAAAACGTGGGGTGGCCCCCACTCATGTGGGAGGTCATCCCTTTGTGTCCCGACGTGTACAATCGGTCCCGAAAGTTGTATTTTTCGGACTGTTTTAATCATATTTTATTTTATCGGGTCAAATAAAATATATTATGTGCTCTTACTCATTATGACATGTATAATGAATATACATTCCCCAAATTTAATTTATAAGCCTCCGAAATTCATTTCCGGGCTGTTACCGGTTAAATTGTCGGTACCGGTAATTGGGCCTCTTTTTCCCAATCGGTCAACTCTACGCCTTGCCACGACCCAAATGAAATACTCACCACTATATAAATATTATCTTGACCAAGATGAATAAAATATGTGGTCTCGGGAGTGTCGGGCGGCCCCGCTCCCGGTGTGGGTCCCACGTGCAATTTACTATTCACGCGAAAGAAATAATAAAAATTTACAACTTCGTAAATTCATTAATCCCTTAATAAGGTTCGATACATTATTTACATAAAAGTAAATATATTTGGGGACGGTGTTACAAGTTCACCCCCCCTTATTTGGGATTTCGTCCCCGAAATCCGAGTATCTAATCGAAAAGAAATGGGTATTGCTCCCTCATGGAGACCTCGGTCTCCCAAGTTTCTTCTTCGACTCGATCACTCCTCCAAAGGACCTTTACCATAGGAATCTCCTTATTCCTAAGCTTCTTCACCTGTTGACCAACAATCTTCACTGGTTCCACCGCATATTGCAAGTCCTCACGGATCTCTACCGGTGGTCTCTCAAGAATATGAGATGGGTCTCGTATGTACTTCTTGAGCATTGATACATGAAACACGTCATGTATCTTCTCAAGTTCAGGCGTCAACTTGAGTCGGTAAGCCGCGGCCCCGATCCTTTCAAGGATCTCAAACGGACCTATGTATCGGGGGTTAAGCTTCCCCCTCGATACGAATCGGATGATGCCCTTCCAAGGAGAAATCCTTAGGAAGACCTCATCACCGACTTCGAACTCCAACGGTCTCCGCCGTTTATCAGCATAACTCTTCTGTCGGTCCTGAGCAGCCTTCAGTCTATCCCGAATGATCCTCACCTTGGCCTTGGTGATCTCAACCAGCTCTATCCCTTCGAGTTTGGCCTCGCCAACCTCGTCCCAACACAATGGTGTTCTGCATTTCCTCCCATACAATGCCTCATATGGGGGCATGCCGATACTTGCCTGATAACTGTTGTTATAGGCAAACTCCACTAGGGCCAAATGCTTGTCCCAACTTCCTTGGAACTCCAAAGCACATGCCCTAAGCATGTCTTCCAAAATCTGTATCACCCGCTCGGACTGTCCATCGGTCTGTGGGTGAAAAGCTGTGCTAAACCTCAGTTTAGTCCCCAGAGATGCTTGAAACTTTGGCCAAAATCGGGATGTGAATCGTGGATCCCTATCCGAGACAATGGATATTGGGACTCCATGTAATCTCACAATCTCCTCCGTGTATAGCTTGGCCAATCTTTCAAGAGGATAAGTAATGTTGATAGGCAGAAAGTGTGCACTCTTGGTGAGCCTATCAACCACTACCCATACGGCATCGTAGTTGTTCACTGTTCGTGGCAGCCCCACCACGAAGTCCATGGTCACATGTTCCCACTTCCACTCTGGGATGGTGAGCGGTTGTAAGAGCCCTGCTGGGTGCTGATGCTCTGCCTTAACTTGCTGGCAAGTAAGGCATCGACTCACAAACTCTGCGATATCCTTCTTCATGCCTGACCACCAGTAACTTTCCTTCAGATCTCGGTACATCTTAGTACCCCCTGGATGCATGGCATATGCTGAAGAATGAGCCTCCTCAAGTATAGCCCTCTGGAGCTCCTCATTCTTTGGTATGCACACACGATCCTTAAATAATAAAAGACCGTCATCACGTACCCGAAAATTCTCGACGGGCCCCTCAAGGATCCGTTCGCGGATCTTCTGACATTCCTCATCAATGGCCTGACATCTACTGATCTCACTCAGCAATGTAGGCCTCACCTCGAATCTAGCAATGAGCGCCCCGCTCGTGGATACCTCCACGTGTGCCCTCAATGCCTGTAGACATGTGAGTAGCGTCCCTGACGTACTCTTTCTGCTCAGTGCGTCGGCCACTACATTGGCCTTTCCGGGATGATAGTCAATGATCAAGTCATAGTCCTTGATCAACTCCATCCATCTCCTCTGCCTCATATTCAACTCTTTCTGAGTGAATACATACTTCAAGCTCTTATGATCAGTATAAATGTGACACGTCTCCCCGTAGAGATAATGCCTCCAAATCTTCAATGCAAACACCACCGCCCCCAACTCTAGATCGTGAGTAGGGTAGTTCACCTCGTGTTTCCTCAATTGCCTAGAAGCATAGGCAATCACCTTACCGTTTTGCATTAGTACACATCCAAGCCCTTGGATGCTAGCATCGCTGTAAATGTCGTACCCTATACCCTGTATGGGTAGGGCCAGGACTGGTGCTTCGGTAAGTCGTTTCTTCAATTCAAGGAACCCCTTCTCGCACTTATCGTCCCATATGAACTTGGCCCCTTTCTTTGTGAGCTTCGTTAATGGAGACGCCAATACGGAGAATTTCTCAACAAATTTACGATAGTATCCCGCTAGGCCAAGGAAACTACGTATCTCCTTCGCATTCCTGGGTCTCTCCCAATCCATGATCGCTTTTATCTTGGCGTTATCCACAGCAACACCCGAACCGGATATGACATGACCGAGGAAACCAATCTCTTTGAGCCAAAATTCGCATTTGGAGAACTTGGCGAAGAGTTGCTTTTCCCTTAGCCGATCAAGTACAAGCCTCAAATGGTGTTCGTGCTCTTCCTCGCTCTTGGAGTATATCAAGATGTCATCAATGAATACTATCACAAATTGATCTAAGTATTCACTAAACACACGGTTCATCAAGTCCATGAATGCTGCCGGTGCATTGGTTAACCCAAATGACATCACAAGAAACTCGTAGTGACCATATCTAGTGCGAAATGCACTCTTAGGTATGTCACTCTCCTTGATCTTCAACTGATGATACCCCGATCTCAAGTCAATCTTTGAGAATACTATGGCCCCTCGAAGTTGATCAAACAAGTCATCAATCCTAGGTAAAGGATACCTGTTCTTGATGGTGACCTTGTTCAACTGTCGGTAGTCGATACACATTCTTAGTGTACCATCTTTCTTCTTTACGAAGAGTACGGGTGCTCCCCACGGTGAATGACTGGGTCTGATGAACCCGTTGTCCAGTAATTCTTGTAGTTGGACCTTCAATTCTTGGAGTTCGGCCGGCGCCATTCGATAAGGAGGAATCGAAATGGGTTTGGTTCCCGGCTCCACTTCAATTACAAACTCTATCTCTCTATCGGGTGGAAGCCCCGGTAGGTCTTTGGGAAAGACATCCGGGTATGTGCATACGACCCGTACATCTTTGATGTCGACTTCCTTCTTGGTATCGTCCACCACGTAGGCAAGGTATGCGTGGCATCCCTTCCTCATCATCTTCCTTGCCCTCATCACGGATATGATGCAAGCATTAGATTTCCCCCGATCTCCTTCGAAACATAGCGTGTTTCCAAGATCATCCTCGAGCTCCAACACCTTGGTGTAGCAATCTACTCGAGCATGGTGCTTCTCAAGCCAATCCATTCCTAGAATTGCATCGAACTCCAACATGCTCAGAGGTACGAAATCACAAGTCAAGGGTTGACCCGTCACTTCCACCTCACATGATGGATAGTAATGATTTCTCTCCACGTCGTCTCCTAACGGTGTGGAGACTAGCAATGTTTGTGTCATAGGCGTCAATGGCACGTCGAGCCCCTCAGCAAACGCCTCACTCACAAATGAGCGTTGTGCCCCGGTATCGATGAGGATCCTCGCACACCTACCATTGATCTTTAATGTTCCTACATTTATACACCATGTAAGATACATTTTCTAATGTTTTTACACACCTTTAGGAGGTTATTAGGTTCATACTAATGTTTGGAATCAAACGAGGGTCCAAACGTAGAAGAACGGGGCGAAAAAAATCAAGTTTCGGGTGTTGGGGGTCCACGCACGGCGTGCGTAGGGGGTACGCATGGTCGTGCGTACCTTGCCTTACCAATGGAGGCTACTGCCCCCAACGCACGGAGGGACGCACGGGCAACGCACGGCCGGGCGTGCAGCGATTCTCTCCGGGGTGCTACTGCCACCAACGCACGGAGGTACGCACGGGCAACGCACGGCCGGGCGTGCAGCGATTTTCCTCCGAGGTGCTACTGCCACCAACGCACGGAGGTACGCACGGGCAACGCACGGCCGGGCGTGCAGCGATTTTCCTCCGAGGTGCTACTGCCACCAACGCACGGAGGTACGCACGGGCAATGCACGGCCGGGCGTGCATCGGTTTTCCTCCGGGGGGTGCTACTGCCACCAACGCACGGAGGTACGCACGGGCAACGCACGGCCGTGCGTGCAGCCCAGCCTGTAGTGCGTTGGCAGAAATCAGCCCGATTTCGCCCGATTTCGCTCAATTTCGCTCCGTTTGATCCCGGGGTGGCCCGAACTCAACCCCCAACGGTGTATATGATCAAAATAATTCTAGAAATACATGGGAATACGTGTATTACCTGCAACGGAGTCCGGGTTTGCTCGCGCATTCGCCTCGGTCATCGCGTAGACTCGTGCTTGGGTCCCACCTTGGTTGACGGATGCGGCATGGCTTGTGGATGCACCGCCTCTTCCCGTACCGCCGTTTGACGGTCCCGCACGGTTTCTTCCCGTCATGGTCCCTCCCCCGGCTCCCGAGGCACTCTCTTGCATCAATTGAGGGCAATTGGCCTTCATATGGCCCGCATTCCCGCACTTAAAACACCTCGGTGGTTCATTGCACCTCCCAAAGTGTTGTTTTGAGCAATTGGGACATCTAGGTGGCCCCGAGTTCTGTGGCCTAGGTCCGTGCCACCTCGCATCCCTATTCTTCTTTGCCGGTGGAGCCGGCGCCTTGAATGAGCCACCGCCACCACCACCACCCCCGTGGTTGTTCCTTCGAGAATGATCGGGTGGCCCCGAATTATTCCACTTCCTTTTCTTCACCTCTTCGGCGTCCCTTGCTTTCCTCTCATTCCACTGGGCCTCTCCAAGCATGCTCTGCTCTACCACCTCACTAAAGGTCATGAGGCGGGAATACGTGGCACGATCTCGGATGTCCAAGAGTAAGGCATCCCAGAAGTGCTCAGTCATGCGGTCCTCATCGATCTCATACTCCGGCAAGAACCTAGCCAAGGTCCTAAACTCTTGCTCCAGTTGCTTAACCGTGCACCCCTCTTTCTGCTTGAGGTTGGTATACTCCCTCCTTTTCACATTAACCTCGAAATCGGAGTAGTATTGAGCATAAAATTCTTGCTCAAAATTTTCCCATGAGATGTCCCCACGGTATTTCCCTTCTACACCTTCCCACCATGTAGAAGCCATCCCCTCAAGTAGCCGTGAAGCGACAGTTAGCTTCACGTCCGGAGTAATCTGCATGTCTCTCGATGCATCCTTCACCTTCTTGATCCAATCGGCGGCAGCGGTAATGTCGCCGGTGCCGTCGAAGGACCTACACCCCAAGGCCCTAGCCTCCTTGAGGTATTTGGAGATTCTTACTACAAAACCTCCTTCATGCCCACCTTGTGGCGCCGCTGGGGTGGCCACGGAAGCTCCCCGACTCCCTTGACCCGAACCACCACGAGAGCCACGCCTTGCTTGGCGCCTAAGGTCTCTCCTCAGCTTTTCTTTTTGATACCACTCAAGCAATTCGCCCATTTGAGCGAACTTGGCATCACTCTCTTCGTCGTCATCATCGGTGTATGTGTCACCACCATCATACGGGGTCTCCTCATGCTCCGTTTCCGGAACGTAGGTTGAGTCATAGTCCTCGGTGTTGGTTTCATACACCGAGCTTACATGGCCATCACTCACAGTTTGAGCTTGATGACCTCCACGGCTTCCACGGCCTCCACGGCCTCCTCTTGAACCCCGAGATGCAGCCCGGCTTCCCCTTTGGGATGTTACCGGCGCCTGCCCCCTCGGATTGTTCCTGGTCCGCATTCGCCTGCCCTCCATTTCTGAAAGAAATATGGATGAGTCATTAGACTCCTATAAATGTGAATGTCAATTGACGGAAGAACGCTACAGACACGTATTGGCCCAAGTCAGCACCATACCAATTGTTAAGGGTACCGTCTTAACAATTAGAGGCCTTGCAACTTAAGCTCCAATAGTCCCATAAACGTCAAAATACAATGCCCATGGTTTTCGGTAAAAACTCTTTTGTAAAATCTCATGTGAGAGGTTGATTATATAGTTTAGAACTGAGATGGCTCTGATACCACTTAATTGTCACGCCCCAGACCGCAATCCAAGCGCGTGTACAACCGCCGTATAATCAAGTGACGTCACCCGCGAGTCAACCTCACTTAATTACACAAGGCGTTCGAGAATATAAACCATCCATACTCAGTAGTAAACATACATAACAACATCACACTTAAACCAATGAATAGCGGAAATATTCAACGGTAAGTCATAAGCCACAACCGGCCAACAACATGAGCATGCAAGCCCCAAAAGTAGTTTATAGCAAATAAAAATATCCATGAGCAATGTTTAGTCATTTGAAAGGAAATGAGGAAGCACGAACCACGTCTTCCTTGACTTGATGTCACCCGTAGAAAGGTGCAGGTAGCAAGCCCTAGCTTCAACCTGAAAATGGTGGGGGCCCCCGAAGGGGTCAGTACAAGTACCGAGCGAGTAGCAGGCTAAATATAGAATAACTAGCGTTTCAAGTATAAGACCCAAACATAGGATGATACATATACGTATAGTCTTTCCCCCAAGTTTGAAATACATATTAGTATACATACACTTGGAAATACCCGACCCGTAGGTCATTGTTTATTTGGGAAAATAATAGTAATAGTCAGTATTCTTGACTAAAAACCCCAACCCCACCCATATGCCTATGAGTGTATAGAACTCCTCCTTGTTTAAGTAAATTATCATAAGGACACCGCCCGGTCCTAGATCATTATTTGGATTGTATTCTTCCTTGATTTTCGCCACTCTGTGGAAGGACAATTCTCAGATAAGTGAATTACACAAGTAATGTGGTATAGATTAGAAGTTGGGGCTTTGGAGGTTTCGAAACCTACCTCAAAGTAACAATCAAATGGCATGAATTACGTCCCAAGGGCAGGACATAAATCTCTTGTAGTCCTCTCTTCATTAGAATGAGATGCAGGGTTATTTTATTCTTGATCAGTTTATTGTTTTAAACTTTGCAAATTTGTGAAAGTAAAACAACGTAAAACCTAAAGAAAGTCGGTTTACCTCATAAAAAGGCCTCAAAAATCATGTCAGGTGGGCCAACCCTACCAGTCACCAGCGACTGCCATCGAAACCTAGCAACCGCCGCCGAATCTGATGAGTGCCACTAGAATCTAGCGACTATTGCTAGAATTTAAAGACCAGCAGATAATCTAGTTAACAATGCATATAGAGTAATTGATAGAATTTTAAATCCAGTGAAGAATGCCAATAGTGCCATTTACTATCAAATACGAAAATTACAAAAAAAGAACTTAGTTCATACCAAGGTAGTCAAACTCGAGATCCTACGTAGGATCGGATATTGGAATAAGGATCGTAAATCGTAGGATCGTGACTCGGATCGTAAGATCCTACAAAATATATGCTTACATATACATATGCATATATGTGTGTGTGTGCGTAATATGTATACATATAGTTAGATAGTTAGAAAATAAATATAATTGATAAATAATGATCAAAGGAGATGTTAATAATATAATATCAAATATTTTGGGTACTTAAAGACTTGAAACAAAAAGAGTTGACTCATAATTATATAATTAAACATCTAAAAATTAACTTACAATACTCCGTATGTTATAAAGTAATTAAAGCATCAATAATTTGTTAAATTAACATCTAATAAATTAATTTACAGAAAGCACACAAACAATCCACTTTATTAAATTTAAAGTAATCAATTAATTTACAGTAGACACACAAAGCATCATGCGTAATTATTTACTAATAAAATGTTTTTTGAAAGGATTTACTAATAAAATACTACGGAGTAGTAAATAAATTAAAGTATCAATATTAATATACTATCGTATAACATAATTAATACGAGTACATAACATTATAAGTTACGGAGTATAACATATACGGAGTATGATAGTACAAGCTAAAAAACAAATTAGCTGAGCGCACTTTTGGAACCGGGAGATGAAGTCGCCTTCGAGTCTTCTACGTAGAGGTGGAGGCTTCGACTCAGTCGGGCCTCAGAATGGAAGTCGTTGGTGATTCTGCTTCGAAGGGAGTAGCAGAATGAACAAGCAAATCGAAGGTCATGATACTTCTCTGTTTTTTTCCTTCCACCGTCGCAAACGACTCGCCGATTCTGTACGTTCCTACGAGTGAGCGCTCCTACTCGGCGATTCTACCGATTCTCCTTAATCTACGATTCTTAGTACAAAAGGGATCGTCAATCTGGTTTTAGATCGTATAATCGGACGATCCTACGAGCTGACTCGCGATTTTGAATACCATGGTTCATACATAATAATGTCAATAATAACAATTACAAAAACCTCCACAGAGGGGGAAATATTGCCAGGTATTGTCATAAAACTTGGGGCAAGATATATTATCTGGACTTTAGACACCATTGAACTTACATTTCGAGTGATTTGGACCTTTAGTGAGAATTCTGCTAAATGATTGGAATCACATTGTTGATTTTTATCCATGCCGCATTGCCACTTGAAAAAAGTGGGTCAACTTCACCATATCAAATCTGCAACTTCGATTAGCAGTTCTATTCCGGGTCCATGCCTAATCATACTGTGTACATATACTTGTAAGAACGCAGAGGCACCTCTATCTTTACTGGAAGTTGGATGTTTTAATCGCCAAGGAAATGATGAAAGGTGGGGGGGGGGGGGGGTTGTGGAACACACCAGTCATAATCGAAACCGCTCCAAGAAACTCATGCTTAAACCCAAAGTAACCTTCCAAGAAAACCTTCACATTTTGAATCGAAGCAACCATGTTTTCACCTTCAATAACCTCATGTCCACATAACGGGGCACGCCCAGAAATACCATCTTCACCATACATGCATGCTCTGTCACTGGAAAAAGAACACACAAAAAGTATTATCATTTTGATCTACTCCATCCATCCCAAGGTATTTGTAGCTTTAGCCAAAATTTTGTCACTAAATAATTTTCATTTTACTAGATGTAGTTTTCTGTGTTTTTCTCATACTAGATGCTTTTACGCTTAGAAGAAGCAAGGTGGCATTTAATGAAAAAGTCTTGTAGAGATTGAAATGTCATTTTACAGTGTTACATAATGTGTGCAATTTTGTAAAACATTAATCAAATTGGGACACAGATAATATAATTCATAAATCTAGCAATAGTGATGTAGTGATTAAAATACTTATAGGTAGTGGAATGATGAATCCTAAAAAGATATTTCATGTACCATAGAAGAAGGTGCCAACAATGGATACAATGCTTTTGTTTGGGAGTAATGGAATTGGACAGACACCATGCCGTAGAAAGTGAAGTATAACAATGTGCATATTATGGAGAGGGCCAGAAAAACTTGGCCACTGTCCTTTTAAATCCGGTCATAGCATAAACAATAACACCATAACTACGATTGTAGAAGTGCATACGTAATTCCAAATACAGCCGGTGCCTCAATGTAACAATTAAATGGCATGAGTTACACCCCAAGGGCCGGACATAAATCTCTTGTAGTCCTCTCTTCATTAGAATGAGATGCAGGGTTTATTCCATACTTAATCAGTTTATTGTTTTAAACTTTGCAAAATTATGAAAATTAAACAACGTAAAACCTAAAGAGAGTCGATTTAACTCATCAAAAGGCCTCAAAAATGTTGATTCTGAGTTGATGAATAGTGCAGGCGACAGTTCAACCAGTATCAATAATGTTTCTCACAGCTCTTACACCACTGCAGCAGCTCTAGGATTAAGTCTTGAAATTGGCTCATCCATGAATATGTTTGAGTTAGCCACTAACTGAACATGATTGTTAGCTTTTTGTGTTGTTCGGTCGAGAGACCATTGACACTGAGCAACCCAACATGTGCTCACCTCAATGGGTTAAGCTCAACTAGCTCCATCACTTCATCAATAAACATCTGCAATTTAATCATCAAATGTAAATTCTCTGACTTCTGAAAGCGAGCATTATAAGATACTGTGATGGTTATAAGGAAAAGATATTTTTTGTAAAAAAAAAAGTACAAACCTTTCTAGCATTAGCATCCACATCCTCTGGCAAACGTAGCCATGCTTAGTAAATCAATGGCGCGTGAACAGTAACATAGGGAGATTGGCTGTCCTGTTTACAGGAACCTGAAACTCGGGGAAAAGATACTTGTTTCTTTAGTTATCTGGAAGGATCCACGGAAGGAATAGCATATGCCAGGGAAGAATCAGAGGTCCTTTTATTAATGGAGGAATATGACTACTCTATCTTTTCCAAATATGTCATAAAAGCCATTGTCCTTTTGCCCTTGTTTCATAACAAATACTCGACCTCTCCAATTCAGAGGCAGTCCTTTATATTGGCTGCTTAAGTTTTCTCTACGTGTTTCCCCCTCACAGAGTAACTTATTAAGAACCGTAGCTTCTTTCTTATTTTTAACGAAATAATCGTTGAGCATACCTAGATATACTAGATCTTTATCCTCAACAACAACGGCAGTCCGAGCAGAATCATACAAATTGCTGTATTTTTTTATCACCTCAGCCCCCTGTAATTCATCGTAAGGATCCTCTTCGAGTTTGGGCACAATCTTATACCGATGCGCTGATTCCATCTCCATTGGCTTTCTTTTGTCATCTTCATTGATTTTGTCCTCGTCCACAAGTTGATCTTCTAGAAAGTGATCATCCCCAGGTTCATTTTGATCTTCTGCATTTTTTTTTAAAAGATACTGCTCTGCAGCAGCACAGTTGTGTCTCTTTCCCGGTTCCAAAAAGAGAACAGCACTGCACCGCAATATAATTTTAAGGAGTAATCGGCAATCTGAAAGAGTGTCGTGTTTCTGTTTGACGTCCATCTTAAAATGCCTGGCCAAACTCTCAAGACTAATGGAAGTAACACCTCTCTTCCCTTTTGTAAAACCACATGTTTGGAATGATGAACACGTGTCAATTATTCGTGATGCTACTGGGTATTCAATTGTAGATGATCCACCATCCTCATCGCGGACCATGAATTTCATTTTTGATGCCATAAATGTACTCATGAGCAAATCCAAATCACACTTAACTATATTATGACCCACCCAAACTTTGGCATATAGATACTCACAGAGTTCCACAGCTATCTCTTCAAAGGGTGTAGCTTTATTTTTATAATCTTTGTTTTTTAACAGCCGTTTCGAAACATCTTCCTCACTGGGAGGCTTGATGTACCAGCGCCGGCTTCCACACTCTTCCAGTGTAAAAGGAGAAACAATCACAACACCAACTTCCAGAAGTGTTGCCTTCCTTCCGGTTATTTTTGATGAATTGAATTCGCAATCGATGAAATAGAGGAGGTTTGAGCATGGATCTGTTGTTGCCATTGGGTCCAACTACGGTCAGGGCTGGTCCTAAGAAAGGATTACAATCACATAATCACATAAAGTTATAAATTAAAAAATTAATTTAATTTATTTTATTGCCTTCAAATTTTTTGGGCCCTGTGCTGCCCTGCCGCCGGTCGTTGATAGGATAAGGGAATCTATTATAATCTAAAAGCAAAATGAAAGTGGGCTCAAGTTTCCCTCTCAAAAACGTCACTTTCAACTCTTTTGTTTATTGCTCATTGATCTATTGTTGGCTGAGGGTTCGGTGTGTCAAAAATCAGAAAGTTAGGGCCCTGTGTGTGAAAGTTTGGCAAGAAATGAGTGGAGGTGATACGTTTGGACACTGTAGAGATTTCATTAGGATTTCATACTCACTGTGCTTTATTTTCATTGGACCGTTTGTTGCTGAACAGTTAAATTAATACGGAACAATGCATATACACGGTTGGGAGCTAGGGTGAATTATTGGTTTGGCTTTGGTGTAACAGTTCAGAATTCAAATTTTGAAACTCAGTTTCCCCCCCAAATCCAAAAACAATTCTAATTGGTTGAATAAAGAATGCACAGTGTTGGGGCTATAAAGCAGCCATACCAATCTAACAACACCACACTCATTCGAGCAAGGAAGCCAAAAGCACAAACAAAATTTGTCATAATGGTTGGCATTGATCCCTATTCCGAGAGATTGACCAAAGAAAGACTACTTGCGCAATCAAGGCTAGAGCGATACATGTCTACCAAGACCCGGCCGTGACTGTTTTCCGGAGTCATTAGAGGTCGTGTTTCATGATAAAGAGGTTAGGGTGTTTATGACTAATTTTTATTATCTACTGCGTTAACTATTCCAAAAAACAATTTATGACTGCATTCTTTTGAATTTCAGGGGTCCAAAATGCATTCACATTCCAGACCAGTTTGTAAACAAGTTTGTCAGCATATTCTAAGAGAGGCGAGTATGCACGGTGAAAAACTTCATGCTGGAGGAAAACTACATGCTTTTCAAAACTTCATCAAGTTCTTATAGGCGTTGTTTCTTAAAAAAAGAGTGCTAGGTTTGGGATTAAGGGAGTCCCGCTAACTTTATGGATATGTGAGAAAAAAGTTTTTTGCACTGAATGCCTTTAAAAAATTCCAAGTTTATGAGAAGTGGAGGTTTTAATTTATGCACTGAACGAATAAAAACAATTCAAGACAAGTTAGTTTCATAAGGTCATTAATGATTTTCTGGACTTATTTGCATTTAAAAATGTGTGATATTTTATGCAATAAAAAGATCAGGGATTATGCATCATGTGAGTGAAAAAAACATTGGTGGTGTGAAAAAGATTTGAGTGCACTGAATGTATTTGAAAAAATCGGAGTCTGACATATGTAGGTTTTACTATTGTACATGTAAAGCATACGTTTTTATGCATTGAACGAATAATACAAGTTTAGGATTTGTTTGTTCACAAAACACGTTTTGGAGATAAGTTTAAGATAAGTTCTCAAAACAGGGATTATGCTTTCTGAAACTAATATGATTTTGAGTTAAAAGAAATATATTATGAAGAAATAACTTCATAGTATTATTTTAAGTTAGATCTATAGAAATAAATTTAGAGTGAAAGCTGTAGAAATGGGTAATTATTACATTTACATTTACATTTACAGACTTAATTAAGGGGGGGGGGGGGGGCAAGCGTCATGAATTCTTGGGGCCTGATCTCTTATAAGCATTAAAGGATTCCATGCATTTTCAAAGTGAGATATCATGTTAGATATCAACAAAACTACTTACCTTTGAGGGCTTCAGGAGGTGCAATTTTGCGGGACCATAAAGGTGGATTTGTTGCTGCGATTAGCTTCCCGGTGCAAGCACAGTCGCCTATTGAAGCTGAGCTGAAGGCAGTCTTCTCAGCAGTAAGATGGGCTGTCAACGAAGGCTATGCTAATCTTCAGGTGGAGACGGATTCCCTTAGAGCTCTGGATTATCTGAAGAGAGCGGGTGAAAGGAGTGAAAGGAGGTGGATGGTATCGATTCAGGAAATCTCAGAGTTGGCTTTTAGGAAACAGATCGAATTTGTTCATACTCTCCGGGAAGGAAATTGGGCCTCGCACTACTTGGCCCAAGCTCAAACTGAAGTTGTGAAAGTTTATTCTACGGTGGATCAGCTTCCGATTATGGCTAAAAGGGCCTATTGGATGGACTTTTTTGGTATTCCTTCGTTTCGAATGTAATTTTCTGCTTTGTTCAGATTTTGGCTTGATTGTAATGCTCGATTATTCCAATAAAATCTGGTAAATGCACCCTGGCATTTACCCCACTGATTTTGGTGGTTTGTCTTCCGGGGTAAAAAAAAATATCAACAAAACTACAAATGTTCCTATTCTGCGAAATTGGGAATTGTGAAGAACTGGATTCATTCGTTAAAGTAAAGTTCCAGAATATGTTTTCCAGGAAAAATAGGATTATTTTCACACGGAATACCATATCTGCCACCCCCCTGATTGGCTGGCATGACAAGGGCAGGTAGTTTCACCAGGGCATTTCTTATATTATTTTTTATTTATTCATAATACAAGCATTACTAAAAAAAATTGTTTTTATTCACCGGGCAGTTTTTATCAGTTGGCAGTACTTATTATTGTCTTTATTAGAGATAATAAAGACATTTGTGCCTGTTTAGTTAAATAGCCAGTTTGAAACCAAGTTCACTAGAGTCTAAATCAAATAGATTTTTTTTTTGAAATATGTGTGCTGATAATTATTTCTGTTGTGTTCGTGTGTTGTCCAAAGATATCAAGTGTATTTGAAGATTAAAGTATGTGTTAAACATCTCAAAATGTTAAATCTTTGATTCATTTGACTTATTCATATATTTCTGAAACGGTTACCATATTGGCTGTTTAACAGTACTTGCAATTGAATACGGAGTATATTTTTTGTGCGTGTATTGGAAATATCAAATTTTCATTTATTTCGTCATGTGGGGACTAATAAATACTACTACTTCTGAAAAAAAATATTACCTATGCTTTTTCTTGGTCAAGCTACTCCTGCAACGCATTAGTCTTCACTGCTGACATGCTGCGTATAACATCTGATGTGTATGAATTTATTGGATACATTATTTATTTAAAAGATGAAAGAAGTATTTTTACATAAGTTTTTCTTGCCTGCTTTTTTGCACCGGGTTCACTGCTTATCAAAGTTCCACGGGGGATGCTTCACTGCCACTGTTTCCTCCCATGTATTTCAAAAAAATAAAACAAAATGTTAGCTGATCATAGAAAGCAAAGGTATTTAAGTTCATCGAAGGTTAAATATGAAAAGGTGAATATTTACGATCTGGTGTATATAAATTTATTGGATACATTTTTAAAAAATATAGACGTGGCACACAGCAAGAGGAGAAGCGCCGAAGGTGCAATACTTCGCATTTCTATTACGTCCTTCCAGCTCGCCATCTCCTTCCCAACCTGAACTCCCAACCCCCTCCAAACGTGATACAACTGCGACAGAAATCTCGACAACATACATGCATGATACAAGCAGGTTACAAAGACTTCCAAGTACAACGAAGAACGAAAATGCTAGACGGGAAAATTAACACTCCGGGATACCTCTCTCCGGAGATAAACAGGCTCCAACAGCAAAGACTACAAAGCGGAATCTCTTTTTTTGTTTCAATCACACGAAGCGAACAAAGTCGCACACCATGTCGCACAAATAGGACTCCGTCCGAACCACATCACCCAATACTCAGTCTCCGATCTCCCCACCGACGCCAAAAACGCATACTATGTTGATCTGAAGGGCTCCATCTTCTTCACGGACGCTGGATAAGGGATAAGCATGGATACCTCTCCCGCAACAACCACGGCTATCTCTCTCTAAAGACGAAGAATCGAGAATCTAGGGTGACTTAATATGCCCAAACTTTTAACTTTGGATGCATATGGCTGCTTAGACAGGCCGATCTTGGCCCACGTTGACGAGGAATGCTCTTTAATTTTGGGAATTTTTATCAAGTAGACCAAAAAGTATAAATAATATCACTTTTTTCACTTTTGAAATTTGTTTTCAAAAATAGCTTAGTCAAAGTTTTCTTTTCAGTTATGGACCCTAATTCACCGACAAGCACCCGACGTTAAAACATAACCGATGCTTTTTTCACTGAATTTTTTGATTTTTATTGTTTATTTATGTTTCTAATTTTTGTTCATATTCATTAAATGAAATTTAACATTTAGGTGTTTCTATATGAATCTGTTTAGATATTTATATTTTAAGGATATAGAAAAATAAATATGGTGCAACAAAAAGTAACAAGATGCAACAAAATGAAACACGATGCAACAAAATGCAATACATGTGATACAACATAAAACAACAAAATACTAAATATAAACAATAATAAGAAACATGGTGCAACAAAAAAGTAACAAGATGCAACAAAATGAAACACGATGCAACAAAATCCAATATATGTGATACAACAGGAAGCAACAAAAAATAATATACAATAGTGTCATAACAAATATACAATTCAATTTACTACATTTATACATCATATTATTTGTCTTTACTTCTTATCATTTCTTCTCCCGTATTCACCCGTATTGACATCAGTGTCTGAGTGCCTCACAGAAGATTTATCAAATTTCTCTCAATCAGGATTGTGATTCACATATCATTGATTGTTGTTCTCCATACTAGTTGATGACCTGCAAAATCCATTTTTAACTGAAGCAAACACTCAAAAAGAGCAAAGTCCTTTCCAACTCAATTTGGATTTTTTTTCATCATGAAGTAATCAAGGACTTTGCAACAAACAACAAGAATTATAACAATGACCATAACAATGATCTATAGAATAAAGTAAATTGAAACCCAACCCAACACTATAGCCATTACTTTGCAAGGAAATTGTCAATCTATGATAGGTAGCAAGATTATGATTAACCACACTTCAAGCACAGAGTACCTTTACCAAGCCTTGTAGCATCATTTATCTCATTCACAACCCTCTTC